GTGCTAACAAGAATCGATTTGTGTTCTGGTTTTACCGCTATAGAATGTGATAGATGTGAGTCACGTTTTCGAAATTTCGTGTTTACTATGGCGAGATTATGCGAGTCTGCATATTCAAGAATTCGTTCGCCATCAGTATTACGTGACCCATAACCAAAACCACCATGACAGCTATAACCGTCTTTCGTAGCGCCCACGTGGCCATTGAGGTCACCGGCAACAATTATGGCTTCTTGTGACGGTACCTCAGCTGTCTTCTCATCAAGCAGGTTCCAGAACTTGTCCTTGTTTTGCTCGGAGCATCCAGTCTGCGGAGCGTACGCAGAGAAGAAATGGTATTTTTGATGTTCCATGACGACAACGATCTTCATTAAACGGTCGTCGAAGCGCTCCACACTTACTATCGAATCACGAAAGCGTTCAGAGACAATCATCCCGACGCCATTGGTGGTTCTGGGACCGCCACATAGAACGGCTTTGAAGCCGCGGCCAATGTCCCTCGACTTGCAGCAGGACCACCTCGTTTCCTGCACGGCACAGAAATCAATTCTTCGGCGCTCCAGAGCTTCTGCTAACTCGTGCGAGCGTCCCGTTAACGTGCCAACATTTAACGTCGCAACGCGAGTCTTCCATACGTTGCGGGACTTTTGGACTAGCCTAGTTGCCCCCCGATGCCGTCCTTGCACCGGAGACCCTCGCATACTTTTCACACTCGCCGGGCTTTGCGAGTGCGCGTCGGCTCCCGCGGACGCCGTAGCATTATCTCGAGATACTTGTAGCGACATTGACATTGTGATGTGACGTGGGTGTTCGTAGGCCGGCCTGTCACGGGGGCCTGTCGCCTGCATTCGAATGTCCGTGGTCGGCTCAGCTCACAAAAGTGAGCAGTTTCCAGTGGCACCACTTGGAGGAACGGACACACCACCATAATCAAAACCAAAAAAAAAAAAAACGATCGGATAAATTTAGTTTAAGGGCAATGGTCAACCGGAAGGCTTGGTGATTCAGTGTTTTGTAGTGTTCTCTGGGACTCTCGCACATACACACTATTACAGCATCTCTGCTTTCTTTCCCTCCTTCGAAAGGCTTAGTCCCAGCAGTGTGCTTTTCTGTCTGGACTCGCACACGTTGGTTGACCGCTGCCCCGTAACCGATAAATATTGGGCAATATTGCATCGCACACCATAGTGGTGTGACTCATGGTGGTTTACTTGGCTTTAGTGGCCCGCTACATTCCTTTTTGTCACCTTCAGCTAGAGTTAAGTTCCGTCTCCTTTCTACCACAATTTTTTTTGCAAGGAGGGCTGGTTTATAAAATAATAAAAGTTTACCATTCCTGGTTGCCGTCACCAGCAGATCATGGGTCTAAGGTCATAAATGAGTGTAAGTTTTAGTGTGCCGGATCAAGAGGGGTTCAGTAAGCTCAGAATGAGCGGTTTCTGAATCCCCTCTTGAAAGTAAAAATTGAAAGTTTCAATGAATGACAGATTCAGCGTCGTTCCAACTATCATGTGCCCACGCATTTGACCTCCATTTCATCAGTTTAGATGCCATTTGAGGCATGCTTTGTCTCGCGCACTAGCTTGAAGTGTGCGATGGATGCTTTTATAGTGTTTGCTAAAAGACGATATAGTAGCTGAAGATTTTTTTATGAAGGGCTTGGTCGTTTTATTCACTTCCTTCAAATACTCACTATTTAGGAGTTGTAATCGGAATGGTGTTTCATATGAATTTTTTTACATATACTTTTCAGGAAGCAGCTAAGCTGGCACGCGCAGAAAAACGAAAAATTCCAATGCCCCTCGACCTGCAAGAGCTGAGTGCAAAAGCAGCTAAAGAGGTTGTTTCGGCGGCACTTGATTCTTTTTTTGAGTATATCTATTAGTTTAGGGAGAAGCATTCGAAAGACAACAAGAAGCGAAGAGCGCTGCACCCGAATCGTTTAATCCTCTGAACGACAAGACGGTGAAAGCGTATGCTAGCGAAGTGCGAAAAATGATCGAATCGGCTGACATAATCATCCAGGTAAGATCATTACTGATTATTATTTTGGACCATAAGGACCATAAGCGACGGTTTCCGATGCTCCCATTTGAGGTTTTGGATGCCCGTGATCCACTTGGAAGTCGAAGTAATTCCGTTGAACAACAGGTTATCAGCAGTGGTAAACGCCTTGTTCTTCTTCTCAATAAGGTATTTTCATGTTATTTACACTTGCATTTCTTGCATCGTTTCCCGTTCTAATTTTTTAATGTCACGTATTATTTTGTGAAATTTCTGGTTCCAGATCGATCTGGTTCCGAGGGAAAACGTCGCAAAGTGGCTTACGTACCTAAGGACGCAAATGCCGACGATAGCATTCAAAGCTAGCACGCAAGAACAAAATACTAACATTGTTCGTTCTAATCACTCAAATTAACTTTGTACTTAAATTGCTAGAAGATGACGTTCTCTGTTCAGAGTCGATTCAGCAGCTCTAATCTCAACAACTCGTCATCCTCAAGGTGCATTGGAGCGGATTTGGTGATGAAGCTGTTAGGAAATTATTGTCGCAATAAAGACATTAAGACCAGCATCCGCGTTGGAGTAGTTGGTAAGTATTTTGAAATGTTCTTCGGGTTTTGTCGAAGTATTCAAAACTGGGGTGTGTCGCACTGAGCTGTAGTGCGAATTTCCGCTAGTTTGTGTTTGAGATTTTTAGAGTTTAATGCGCGCTTCATGGCATACTTAAGGTCGTACGCAAAATCGGACTTGCAAGCGCGCGCCATCGCGCTGTGGCTTCGCGCTGGTTGTATGACATCTAATCCTTTTGGTGTGGCGGGAACCTGGTAGTAAGTAAGAATGCGTGAGCCAGGGGGAATGGGGCCAATTCAGGGGGTGGGGGTGTGTGAGCCACTTAACCTGTGGCAAAAGTTTGGGCCTTAGTGTCTGGTGTCTGGCCTTGTGAAGGAGACGCAGAGGAGCAAAAGGATTAGATGTCACAAGACCCTTCGTGCTGCGCACTTGGATGGTCATATCATATTCAGTGCGTGGATACTTTCAGGATTTCCAAATGTTGGTAAAAGCAGTGTGATAAACAGTTTGAAAAGACGACGTGCCTGCAATGTTGGAGCGCTGCCTGGTATCACAAAGTGAGTCACTATTTCAATCACTTTTTTCAAAAACATGTCTGAATAGTGGAAAATGCAATTCATTGTTCCAAATCGTGTTGTTCAGGGAAATACAGGAAATTGAATTGGACAAACACATTCGACTTATCGATTCTCCCGGAGTGGTTCTACTAAGCGCAAAAGATCTTGATCCTGTTGAGGTAGTTTTTATCCCTTTCACTCAGTTACATATAGACTTTCTGGATAAGCTAGTTGGATAGTAATGTTCAGGTAGCCCTTAGAAATGCGATTCGTGTGGATAATTTAATGGATCCCATTGCTCCTGTAATCGCAATTTTGAGAAGATGCTCGAAACAAACGGTAGGTAACTGTTATAACAACCGTTATATTTTCACTGGTATTCTCAACTGATCTATGTGTATTTAGCTGATGTTACACTATTCG